TTTATTTAAAAATAATGTTGTATAAAATCAATACGAGAGCTAGATAAGAAGCAATTTTTATTGATATGAAGTTTCAAAAACCTTTGTTTAAAAACAGATGGACAAAAATATTTAATATCCAGGATGCTTGTAAATATGAAAAAAATATTTATAAAAACAATACATGTATCTGTAATATGTACAAGAAGAGAATATCGAAATATCAATTTAAATGGGAAAAAGTGAGCTGTTTTTTAAAATTTGATATTACTTTAAAATTAATTGAACCTGCATTTTATACTGAAAAAAGTGGAAAAACTTTGCAATTTAATAATTTGATAACATTTATTAGCTTCACTATGTATGAAAGAGGGTCTTGCAGTTCTTTTGTTATTTTCCCTAAATGTGTAGCAGATTAAAAGAAGAATTTTTATGTTGCAGAAACTCATATTATTTTTTTTCAAATGCTACAGTATATAAAGCACAACGAGAAACAATATTTGGAAGCTGCGTATTGACTTCCAATTTGCCATTAAATAATGTGAAAATAAGTCTCACGGCAAAGTGTATCAGATTTTCCGTTTTTAAAATAGGGAATCCCCATTGTTCTAAAAAAAGTGCCTCCTTGAAACAAAATAATTTTGATATATACACAAAAAGGCAAGAATTTTCTTTAAAACTACCATTTCCGATTTTTGTTTCAAAGAGGCATATTTTTGAAAAACGCAAAAATTGAATAAAAATTATTCTCCAAACGAAATACAAAATGTGTACATAAAATAACACTAGAAACTATCGTGTCCGAAATGGTCTAGTGAATATGCTGGTGAGTTTCCAACTAGTACTTTAACCCGAGAATGGGTTCGAATCCTGGAATGGATCATTTTTGCATATCTTTTTTCTTATTTTTTCCATATGTAATGATAGTACAATGAAATCATATATACTTTGAAAGAGAGAGAATGTCAAGAAGTTAATTGAGTAATAACTATATATTAGAAATGTAGGGTTTAATTGTTTTCCTTGATATGCTGTGACTTAAAACTAATACTTTATTTAGTTATTGCAATTTTGAATAAATCTGATCTCTTAGTTAGTAGCCAAGACTTGATTTAAAACAAATGAAACGTCTTGGATGTAGCACCAACAGTGTGATTATGGGACGCAGTTTTATTTCATGAAAAATATTTTCGCACGATGTCTACAGCATATCTTTCAATATGCTGCTTTAGCCATTGTGCTTTTTTTTTTGTTCCAACCTTTTTCGTGCAAATGACGAAAGTCAAAGTGTTTTGTTGTATCAAGCAGGAAATACCCGCCGTAAACATAGTCCTCTACGTAGCTGTATCTATATTTAGACATAATGAGGGTATTTAAATGTCCTTCTCGATATTTAAGGATTAATCGCGAGTTTCTGCAACACCCTCTTTTCCGAGAAATATCTCTGACATAGAATTAAATCTATGCTTTATATTAAAAATGATGGACTTAGAAAAATGGTCAGATTATAAGTAATTTTTATCATGATTTAGCTGATGTTAGTGATTTAAGATTAATATCTGATTTGGTGTTAATATTCATATTATGATATGTTTGTGACCTATTTTTATTTTAATAAAAGAATAAAACCCTAATAAAAGAGAAATAATAAAATAAAATTTCGGAACAAAAGAAATTCCTGTGTTAGATTGATTAATACAAAGGGCTAACGACGGGTATGACAGTCAATGGGGGGGGGGGGGGGGGCTTACTCCTCTCCGAGCCATGAAACTTAGATAAGCTCACTTTTGAACTCAGTCTCACTTTTCTACCATTAATGCCTTTGGTAAAAGTGAGACTGAGATCAAAATGAGCTTGTCTAAGTTTTATGGCCCCGGAGCATGATTCCACCTCGGGATTATTAGGGGGTCCTTGATTATGCCACGTTCACAGATTTGTATTGTTGGTAGTTTTTCAAGAAATCTATCACTGTTTGGTATCTTCACATTTCTCATTAGATCTCAGGTGTTACTAAAAGCATGAATTAGTCGTTATAAGAGTTACGTGTAGTTAATGAAGACAATTCATTGCGCCGATTCAAGATAGCTGCCCTGTACAGTGCGTAAACTATTATGAATTATTCAACTCGCATCTATTTCTATATAAAATAATAAATAGGTTGCCAGATTGAGGGATAGATACATGTACTTATTTTTTTTAAATGCATTTAAATAATTTCTCGAATTGTCACATTTTGAAATATTGGATACAGAACTGAATACAGTTGTGGATATGTAGGACTTTAATGTTTACAAACACTGCGCAAAATCTGGTTCTTTCCTCTCGGGTCTTCTCATAACTGCCTCTTGTTATTCTCACTTCCGAATTCTTACATGATATGTTCACCAGCGTTCATTGTCTACAGGCATCAATTAGCGGTGCCGAGTAGTAAGCTCAAGTACTAACAACAGTTTTAATAAGTTAAAAGCACGGAAAGTCGCATAAATACAAGTGTATTGAAGGAAACAAATTGATCAATGAGGTAAGAAACTATATATTTATAAGCAAGAGAGAGAGAGAGAGAGAGAGAGAGAGAGAGAGAGAGAATCTGTCTCTCTCTCCGTGTGTGTGAGGGTGTGTGTGTGTTTATATACAAAGTAAAGTAATATTTCACCTAATTAAGAACCTAAAAATATTTATTAACATATATTCAGAACAGAATTATGAATTATTTCCAGCACTAATGTGCATGAAGGAATGGCTTTGTAGCAACCTCTAATGATAAAACGCCGCTTAATGATACAAATAGCATTAAGCGTTGCAATTGCAACGCCTAATGCCATAAATTATTGCATTAATAGCTGACATCCTCAACCGCTAATGCTAAATCGCCGCTTAATGATAGAATTATATCATTAAGCGTCACAAATGCAGTGCAACACTGACCCTTAATGAAACAAGCAAATATCGACACATTCGACGCTTAATGACACACACTTTCGTATCATTAAGCGTTGCAGTTGCAACCTTTAATGATAAAAAATCACCCCAACCCTCAAATCCAGGATCTTGTGATGCATTGTTTTTGTGTGATTATGTTGTGTTTTTTTTTAAATTATTATTTTTTCCCTATATTTTTCATTTCTAACAGATCTTTACTGGTGAGATAATTTATCAGTTCCCCTCCCCTTCTGATGAAACTGGATACTTTGAAACTAATACATGTCAATTCTAGTTAATGTTCTTGTAATTTGTACCGTTCTTTGGCATATCTAATGCTTTCAAAATAAATTTAAATTTAAACAAGTACTCTCAAAATAAGATCGTAAAATGAAAATTATTCCAGTGAATCAATACTCTGCATCAAGAATATGTATGTTTAAAGTGCTACAGAAGAATGAACATTGCATGGGATATATCCTATCAGTGGTGACAGGTCACGGTGCAGTGCTCAGGCGAACAAAAATAAATGCAAAATACTTTTTTTTCTATTTTAATGAACACAATCAATGCACATGGACATATACTTTACAATATGCCTTTTCCACTGTGAATTTTCCCCAAGATAAATGAATTAATTAAAATGCTTAGAATAAGTACCATCAGCAAAAAAATAAATGAGTATGAAAACAATAATTTAATAGTATGTACTTTATAAATCTGTGTAAAAAGAGTTAAAGAAACATAAAAAGAAATAGTTTACAATCATATTTTATAAAGATGTCATGTTCTAATTCTTGAACATAATACGTGACTGAGAGTAAGTACAACATGAAAACTGCTGTCGTGTTCTATATTTTATATTTACATGTACTCCCAAATTTCTCGGGCCTTTCCAACTAGCAGAAAAAGCAATCTATTATTACGGTAAGTAGACGTCATTACAATCCCCGCCCCCAATTTTCACAAACTTTGAAATAATTTTGAAAGACCTCTTATCTGTGGAGTGTAACTTTATTGAATGTAAAGATATTACTTAAAATACACCACAGAATAAACAGATAGATGTATAAATTTTTAACTTATTGTGATGTCAATACATCCGACCTCTGACGGAAAGAGCCGATAAGATTCGGTTGAAAGAAATCGCTATATTTGAACTTAACCCGATGTAAATTAAATGATCCCGACTGGAAATACATTCAACATTTTCAATATCACAATGAAAAAGACTGTTTGGTTGCAATATGTTTACAAACAATTTTAACTTATTAAGCAAGTTAATTTCTCCTTGTAAACTGCACCAGAATGACAAACTTCAATGCTGTTTCAATTTTAAGATGATTTTATCTTGTTAATTTCATTCGACATTAGTGCAAACTTGAACTTTGGAATTTTTCTCAAGTTTCGCAACACAAACATTTGTTTTGTATCTGTAAAAATCTTCATAAAATGTCTTCTTTTATGTTATTAAAGAAGGTACAGTTTGGGCTTTATTGGGCTCTAAAAAGTTATTGTTCTTAAAAAGTTATGAAATTGGCTTTTACCAGTTGAGAATATGGCATGAATTTAAGGAGGACCGTTCTGGAAATATGACGTCATTAATTGTGGCGTAAATTGCGCATTATTTTCATAAAAGGATCTGTAGCGTCATGGTCAAAGACTACCATATAAAAACATAACGCTACAGTTGTGTAGATACCATAAATACTGAAATTTAAATACATGTGCTAAGATGATGCCATAATTTATTATGCTCGCCTATACGTAGGCTTTTTGGGATTTGAATTTTGAACAAAAGCTAAGGTCAGACTTAAGGCGAGTCCTTGAAAATGAAATTTTTTTTAAAGGTACTCCGATCCTCAACCAGGTGTATAAGTCTTCAATTTGTAATTCAATTCAAAAAGTATCAGAAGGAAGATTGAAAATAAAATCTTTTCATGCAATAATTTTCGTTTTATACCTTTCAATGTTCTTCAAGGTTCTTTGAACTTCTCAAAAGGTCGTATTAAAAGTCAAATCTCAAATTAATCATTTAAAGAAATTGAGGTTCAGTTTAATCTAACTATAGATACCAATGTTTATTAAAATGATATGAAATTAGAAGTTATTAATGGTGTTTTGCAATGAGAGGAAAATATTTATACAATATGCATTGTAATTTGATCGAAGTTAATAAAAGAAATCAAGAACATTATATGTATAGAATATATGTATCGAATTTGTGCAATTTCTTCAGAACCCTGGATACCTAAAACTTTGATTAAATTTGAATTATAAAATGTATATTAAGTGTTTTATTCGCATTTCCTGAAAATTTCTTTAAGATTTTTTAATTTTTCTTACATAATATGATTAACTTTAAAGATGAAGTTTGAAGAACTACCGTGGGTAAAAACATGTTACTTTAAGAATTCAGCGACATTTTTATGCGAACTTTCAATTATAGTCAATGCCTGATTTCCAAAACCGGAGGATCGGAGTACCTTAAAGAAGAAATTTATTAGTATTGTAACAACTCTATTATAAAGGCTGAAACTTAATCTGATCCAGGAAATGAAGATCTAAGGTTACCACATTCACAATTAAAACACTAGTATCTAATTAAATGACCCTGTACCTGTTAAGATCTCCCCAAAATAGACTTTGAAACGCTCATAAATACAGTAGATTGTTTATCTGAAATTGAATACAGATTCTAGCAAAATACCACCGGGTCAATGACAATTTTTTGGGAATTTACCTGAAAACATACAACCGACTATAATGAAACATATGGAGGTAACGAACAGTATTTAGGATCAAAAGTCAAAATATGAGCAGAGTAAACACGGATCTCCCAACATCGGAGGTGGTATCATGTGCCATGGAGTAGTAAGCATCACCTGCCGACCGGTCACACCCGCCTTCGTCAATTCAGTGTATGAATAATGGACTAACAATTAGTATGAAAAACGTCAATCAGCATTTGACTAAATGATAAATTGTATTTGCGGACAAAGAGTAACATGTAACATGTAGCATAAGGATGGATTGGTATGACACACAATAAAGATTACAATGTATACCACACAAACGGAGTATGAAGTGACTCAGAATACATTTATTTTATATGATTAGGATTATTAATTTCGCTTCGGGTCCATTATTTCAGTCTCAGAAAAAGTGTAATTTAAACACTGTTTTCTTTAATATTTGCATTGTTTCGCAAAAAATTCTCTTGCACAACATTATCTCATTGTTATGTTTAAACCCTACGGAAGCCCATTTAGGACCTATCAAAAAATATTTTTGAATTCGTTATAAAAATTTTTAGAATTCGTTATAACGAATTTAATTTGTTATAACAGATTTATTGAATTCGTTATAACGAATTTAATGTGTTATAACAGATTTATTGAATTCGTTATAACGAATTTAATTTGTTATTACAGATTTGTTGAATTCGTTATAACGAATTCTAGAACTTGTTTTTACGAATTTTTGAATTGGTTATAACGAATTCAACAAATCTGTAATAACAGATTAAATTCGTAATAAGGAATTCAACAAATCTGTAATAACAAATTAAATTCGTTATAACGAATTCAATAAATCTGTTATAACAAATAAAATTCGTTATAACAAATTCAATGAATCTGTTAAAACAAATTAAATTCGTTATAACGAATTCCATAAATCTGTTATAACAAATTGAATTCGTTATAACGAATTGTAAAAATCGTTATAACGAATTCAAAAATATTTTTTGATAGGTCCTAAATGGGCTTCCGTATAACCCTGTATAAAAACAGGTTTCCCACGTTAGATTATAAATGATCAACATGATTCACAATGATGTCATAAGTAGTTCAACAACAAGTTCAACAAATTCCCAAATAAACCAAAATCAATAATCGTTTCATCGGCTAAAAACTATACTTTGCAAATATTTGTTGAAAATCAATCACAAGTATTCCTATAAGTACCGTTTGAACTCAGGTTTAAATCGTCTATTGGGGTTAAATTTTAGTCCAAAACTCTGTATCCGACCAGTAATAAGGCACATGTATTATTTTTAAACATCAAAAGAAAAAAAATACGATTGGAGCATGATTATATTTCAACAAGAAGCTCCTCGGCCCAGGCTTTATGAGATTTGATAACACTCATATATTTATATACTAAAATAATCATGCAACAGTATAATGTATTCAAGTAACACTGATCAAGAATAAAGGATAAATGATCCCTTTTCTCAAAACAATACATGTTATTCAATGTTTTACATTTTATTTTTTATATTATATCCTTACACATAAGTTGTCAATATTGATGTCTGTCTTTTTCGAAATTCGAAGAAATGTAGAAGATTAAAAATACAATAGAGAAAAAAATAAATTTATTTGTAGATATGTTTATCTGAAACATTAACAGTAACCTGTGTAAAGCTGTATCAATTCTAAAATACCTTGTCTCGATAAAAAATATTCAAATATATTAAATATTTTTAGGTTGACTATTCAAATCGTTGTATCAAATTAAAAGGAATTTGCTTGTTTCTATATTTTTTCAGAAAGAAATGGGTTCTGTGAAAAGTATTTCGATATCTTTTTATTTATC